TCGAGATTCTTTCCAACTTTGAACTTCATTTGATACAAAGTATGCTTCAAGCCTGGGGAGAAAGTAGCTAGATTTTGGCTTGACGTCCTCCTCCCTTGACGAGAGCGGAGATTGAATCCTGCTCCCCTTTGATTTCTTCCCGACGGGAGATTGAACATATTCTGCTTGAAAAGGGAATCCTTTGTCAAACAGAAAACATCAAAGTGCACAATGGAAAAGGCGACCTTGTTGAATGCAATTATACACATTTTTGTATACAGTTTTATTAAATTCTTTCTTCCCCTTTTTGTAGAGATCAAAAAAGTTTATACGAAATGAAAACCGGGTTCAGGTGTCTGTTGGGGAAAAAAGGCTAAATAAATTAAAAATTGGATACATTTTCAGGGTAGATTTTTATAAAAAGAATTCTCCTTTTGGAACAAAGTGGACTTTGTAACGTGTCAAAACAAACAGGGGCATGAGAAATGTGCAGGTTTAAATATTTAGAGAATTCAGGCAATACTTGGTAACTTTGTATGAAAAAAATCTATTTAAAACTCTAAATTTAAAAATCTAAATAAACTATTATAGAAACTTTTTTCAAAATTTTACAAATATTTCGAATAGCTTCCAAATTTTTGTAAACTTATTCGGGATCAGATCACGGGCGCATCTTTATTTTGCAAAATTATGTTGTAAAGGTTACACATTTTGTAAAGTGAATTGCGTCAAGCATGAAATTTCGACAAAATAATCAACTTTCTCTTAATTTTCATAAAATTTTTGTCACAAGTTAAGTTTTCCAAAACAAGGTTTAATTGGAAAATATGTGTTGGAGAAAATAAAAAGAGTAATAAATTGTCATAATTCTTCTCCAAAAAGAAATTTCCTCTGAAATTTGCCTGTTTGAATTTATTAAAAAAACACTTCTTTCTTCACGTCTCAAAAACTTAGAATTTATACGAAACAGAAATATTAAAATTTTAAAGCACTCTTGTCAGAATCCTGTCCAAAAACACAAAACAGAACAAAAGATTCGTTCTTTTGCATATCAGTTGAAAGATCTAAATATACACGCTTCACAATGTCAGTTAACTTTATGTAAGAAAACTATTTTAAACTTGAACTTACATCAGAAAATGTCGCCTTAAATACAAAAACGTCAAGGTAAAATCATCTCAACTTTTCTTCGCACAAAAGAAATCACAAATTCTGTCTGTCTTTCTCCCTCAGTTTAAAATAAAATATAAACTTTTTAGACAAAATCCGACTAAAAATCTAACCATATGACAAAATAATCTCCGTCTGGGATGAGAAAAGATCAAGTCGTGGCCACCAAGGTTTCAGGTGTTTAAAATACACTTTTCCAAGGACAGGTGGGATAAAGGGGGAAAATTGGAGAAATTCGGTGGGGAAAATGAGAAAAAGTCAGTGGGGCAAAAAGACACGGTTTCCCACCAATTTTGAATAGTAGTGGCGGTAAAGCGACACTTTGTCCCACGTGGTTTTTACCAGTCTTTCGTTTTGTTTGCCAAATTTCGTGCACTTCAAAGCAAGCCGTGCCAGAAATGCGAGGTGCAAGAAATATGCGCCATCTACCCACGCGCCGTATGAACTATTTATGGCCGCGGGATTTAGTTTCTCGCGCCTTATATTTCTTGCAGGTCAAAATATTCACCTGCGAGAAACCACTTTATTCCCGTTATGTCTTGCACCCGACACACTGCTTTTTACCAATGGTAACCTTAAGTTCCTACCAACTCCAACTTTCTCTAGGAATTACGTTTATCGCATACAAAACAACAATTCGTTTTCTTTCTTTCTTCCTTTTTTTACGACAACGTTCACCTTGCCAACTTTCTCTCGCCCGACAAATAAGAATATTCACATGCACCTGAGAGCTGAGCTGAATTGAACTCCCTTGAACTCAAGCTTTTCTAGTGTTATTTTTCTCCAAGTTTCACTTCTTTTTTCTGTTTTTTTCATCCATCCATTACTTACGAGTACAATATAACAATCGGATGCGGGGAAACATTTACGACATGATTTACATGGCGGGCATGATGATCGTCTCTATTTTTCGGGGTAACTTTCTCCCCGCAATTCCACTTCCGATCCGTCAGTTGAGCCATCCATCACTTTTTGGGGAATGAAGTCGCATCCGATTAGAGATGTGCAAAAAAATGTTTGTTTCGCATTAAGAAATTGCAAGTTTCATGATCTTTAAGAATTTTTAATAAATCATAAAATCATAAAGTTGAGTAAATTTGTATCTGTTTGGTGCTAATATATTTCAAAATTTGACAAATAATTTTGCAAATTGTTTAACTTTCAGTTTAATTTGATAAAGCCTTGATGAAATTTGGGAAATTTCCCCTCTTTGGCTGAAATAAGCTTGACAAATAATTGTGTATTTGATAAAACCAAGAAATTTCGTAAAAATTTTCCGTTGTTTACGACCATGCTTGCAAAAATTATATGCCTTGCTTCCCCTAAATTCGGGACACGTTTGTGCACGAGTTACTTATTTTATCTTGCCGCGTGTAATTCGTAAACTTTCCTCTAAAAACAAAAAGCAGAAACTTTGAAAATTTTATAACTGCGAAACTTTCTTCTCTTCCTGCAATTTTGCAGAGATCATGTCCTATGAGAATGTTAGGTTGTAATATATTTACAACTTAATTTTATACAATTTGTTGGAATGCCTTGCTTCCCATACGTTTGAAAATTTTGTGAATTATTTATCAAAATTCGACGCAAGTTTGTAAGTTGGTTATCTTGACACGTGCAAAATTTGCCTAAAACCAAAAGCATAAACTTTGAAAATTATCCCTACATTTAAATTTTTCACTTCGCTAAAATTTTATTACTGCGAAACTTTCTTCCCTTCCTGCAATTTTGCACACATCGTGTGCTATGCGAATATTAGGTTGTAATATATTTCAAAATTTCGCAAATAATTGTGCAAATTGTTTACTTTAAATTTTAAATTATATTTACAACTGATCATTTTATAAAATTTGTACGCCATACATTTGCAAAAATTGCAAAATTCGGCAAGTCAAGTTTGTGAGCAAACTTATCTTGCCACGTGTAATTCGTAAACTTTGCGCTAAAAACAAAAAGTAGAAACTTTGAAAATTCTCTGTATGTCTATATAAATTTTCCATTTCGCCAAATTTTATAACTATGCGAAACCACGTGTACCTCGCAAAATTCCCGTTAAAACAAACCCAGAAACTTTAAAACTCTAAATCTAAATTTTCCGCATCGTCGAATCCCCAAAAATTTTATAACCTCCAAACTTTCTTCCCTTCCTACAATTTTGCACATATCGTGTGCAAAATCCTATGTAATGCGAATATTTAATGAATGAAACGAAACGAGACAACAGATCAAGCCGAACTATGTAAGTAAAAGCTCAAAAGTGAAAGTAGCTCTCCTCGCAAACAATTTACAACCCTGGTCGTGAATAAATTATGAGCCTTCTACTTTTACTAACCAAGCAAAATTAAGTTTCACTCGGACAAGAAGAATGAGTCGAAAGTGAGTAAATCCTAAATTCAATCTCAGCCAAACAAAGTTTAATCGCTCTCCAGAGACGCATTTTACTCCGGATTGCATGTATTCCATTAAAGGAATGACTTTAATGTGGGCAGGAGGAATAAATCTTGGGAGGGTAGATTCCATCATCAGATTTTCTGCACTGGATTAAGAACAAGGCTATTTACGTGTGCTATTTAGGTGTGCAAATCTTGGGGGGATTTGGGCTTCATTCAGGATGAATTACAAAATTTTGAAAAGGTGTCTCACGAGAAATAATTAAATTATGTATTTATCTAAATTGGCACAGAAATTTAAGACTGGTTTTGATTTCCGAATCAAATAGCAAGAAACGCTTTCTTTGCAGTGCAAGAAATCTAGCAAACCCGCAAAAAAACGAAGAAGCATAGTTGCAAAAATTTTGCTGTTTCATTTCTCCCATATTCCAAAACTAACGAACTGATACATTTTTTTGCAGCTACATATTTCCTCCATCGGTAAATGTACAAATGTAACTTGCAAATTTACTGTAGGCCTGATTTTCGGTTAAAATAACATAAGTATCGTAGTTGGAACTGTTATGTGAATTTCCAATCAAAGTTTGCACATTTTCATGCGAAAACGATATGCCTCCATTTATAGCGTATGTTCATGTAGTGACATTACAGTTATATCTAAAATGCAATAAATATGTGTAACTTGCGTCATCTACTATTTTATAATGGTTGTTCCACCCGAGTAATTTCGTACAAAGTGACAACGTAAGAAAGTCGATCAACGGGAAAATCATGGTCGAATGGTGTTAACTAATTTCCCATGTCGAATTATTTCTTTTCCTTCACATCGTTCAAGACGAGTACTTTTAGGCACAAGATTTTATTACGATACATAAAATGTACCGAAATTTTACAAAGTTTCCAAAATATTTGATTTCAAGAAGTCTTTCTTTTCCATATAATTCTAACGTGTGTTGTGCTAATAAGTTTGCAAATTTTTGCAATAGCAAGACTCGAATTGGGTTGGTTGGATGCCTAATATTATTTTTGTGCGTTATTTTATTACTAGTTTATTGTCAAGATGGGTTGATTGTGCACGAAAATGTAAGTTATTTTTTATCCTATAAAAATTACGTCTCATAATTTAAAAAATCTTGCTTCAAAAATCTATCGAAGATGTCTCATGCCGTCAAAATCGACACACTTTTAATCATTTCTCAGCTCTGGGAATCTATTTTAAAATTCGAAAAATTTGTAGAGCAGGGAGTTGCCAATTTTTTAAAAATATACACTCCAGATTTTGACACTTTTTGAAGGAGGAGATCTCTAATTTAAGAAGCCTTCAGAAACATTGGAACTCGTCGAACTGGCTCAAAAAACTCAACGCCATTCCATCAATCAATTCACTGACTACAAATTTGTCGTCCAGAATTTTAAAATAAGTTCCCAGAACGGAAAAATGATTACAAATGTATTGCTTTTTACGATTTCGGTAATACGTCATCAAGTCCTTCAAGTTAACAAAAATTCTTCTCGAATTTTCAGAACGATTTGAAAACTCTACCGATTTTTCGGAGTGAATTGTACACCTCTCGAAATTCCACCTCCACCTCGTCAGCATCTGTCCTGCTCTCGGTGAGAGGTGGGATTGGAAACCAACTTTTCCAATTTGCTTGTGCTTACGCGTTGGCGAGAAAGTTTGGATGGCCACTTTACATCCATGTCCCATCGAGAACGACGCCGGCGGAAGTGGTGGAGAGATCATTTTCACTGGACCACTTTCATGTTCCGATCCACTCCTGGAATCGGGTGGACGATAAGTGGATATCAGAACGACAAGAGGACATTGTCCAGCTCGAAGATAGAGAGTTGCTAGGAATGACTGGTAGGTAATATGAACCGGAGATAAGTATTTTTGCAGGAAATGTGACAAAATCATGTGAAAAAATAGGTAATAAGAACCCGAGGATATAAGCAACTTTTTGCAGGAAATGGGGCAGAATCATGTTGCAAAAAAATACAGATTGTCCAAAAAACACGCAAAAATATCCCTTCAAAATTCTGAATAATTTAAAGTTGATGAGAAACTGGAGTATTTAGAAATTAAAGAGTTATAAATTAAAAATTAATGACAGACAAAATCGTGTGGGCTTTGATTTCTCGTAATTTTCTGTAAAAAAGCTACGCTTTTCCGAAAACATTTGGGCTTATTTACCATTATCTTTTCAAAAGATTCGATTTATTAACTAAATTTTCCTTCTTTTTCAAACCATTTGTAACAAAATCGACTTACAATGTATGTAAACACAACCTCCTATTTTTTCCACTGCAGAAACGCCACATTTTTTTGCAATACAACCCTTTATCAGAACCTCAGTTCTTACAAAAATTTTAAAATTAAAAATCATGTACACCTAAATTTCCAAGTTTTTTGACATCGTGTAGTAAAAATCTCCTATTTTTCTCCTACATAGAACGCCACCCATCAATCTCCGCCCACAAAATCGTCCAACTCTCTCCCAAAGATTACTGTCAATCTGAAACCTTCTTCGAACCTTATCGTTCCGAAATTGTCACCCTTTTCCAACTAAAACCCACCCCTCTTCATTCCAATAATAATACGGCCCTCTTCCACCACTACCACACCCTCATCACCTCCACCTCTTCCACCTCTTCCATCGCGGTCCACATTCGTCGCGGAGATTTCGTCTCGACCGGAAACGCCGTCCCTCTTTCCTATTATGTCGACGGGATCACATATTTCAACTCGGTTTTCAAAAACCCCACATTTTTCATTTTTTCGGATGAAATTTTGACCCCCAAAGATAAAGAAAAGTTAGGACTGGAGAAAAATTTCTGTTACGTTGAGGGACTAAACTCTGCCATTATGGATTTCGAACTTATGACTATATGTTCTCATGGATTGATAGGAAACAGTACGTTTGCCTGGTGGGCGGTATATTTGATGAAAAATAGGGACAAAATTGTACTAGCGGCAAGCCCGAATTTGCAAAATATTTGGTCACCTTATTTTCGATGGCAGTATAAATATCTGTATTATCCGGTTAGTTGGAGAAAGATTGAGGTAAAGTATGAATGACGGCACACTCTTAGAAAACTGGTATTAAATCATTACCGACCAGAGTACAAATATATGTAATGACTCGACCGTCCCTGGTAATAACGGGCATTACCGTTTAGTAATGTTGTGACAATAAGAAATTTACCAAAAAGAAAGAAACTATTACCAATCCGGTAGAAACTTATTACCAAAGCAATGCCAGGGCAAAGTACATATCTGACTCTACCAGATTTTTAACAGTGTATAATAAATTTGCGATTTATGTACATAAATTTGCGTTTTTTTTTACCCGGCGTGTAAGCAAATTTGGTATTTAATGGTACGAATTCAACCAAACTTTGAGAAATCATCCGTACATCTGTCATTAAGTATTTAATCGTTTTAAAACAATAAATGGACATTGGCGCTGGACTTGTACAGCACAAAAAAAAAATACAAAATTTATTTAACATAAAAAAAATTAAAATTTTATTTTTGAATTGCAAAATTTATTCTTAAGAATTTATTAACTTATCAAAACCGGTTTTTTAAGAGTAGATAATTTACCAAGTTGAATTTCTTTTACCGATTATCCTAAGGCATCTGTTAGAAAATGATCTTATTTTTTAGGCTGAATAAATAGATATTGACGTTGGCGTTTTACATTGCAAAAAAAAATATTTTACTTTGAATTTTTTATGCTTTCCATTCAAAAAAATTTTGTAAGTTTGTAACATTTGTCATTTCGCAAATTGTTGGCACTGAATAAATTGCAATGCAAAATTGCAAATGTGCCATTACATTCAGCAATACAATGTTCCTATCTTTATAATAAATGAGTAATAAACTAACGCACAAAAATAAAATTAGGCGTCCAACCAGCACAATTCGAGTCTTGCTATTGCAAAAATTTGCAAAATTATTATTGCAAATTCCAAGAAATGTGCGTACATACATATTTCGTACATCTAACAACATCTTTTGCCAGTATTGTTAGCTTTCCAACAAGATAAGCCCGTTACATACATATATTCTTATTTACTTTCTCCTCGCTTTCATATGCAAAAAAAATGCATTAATTTTCATGGAAATCTACACAAGTAGATTATGTCAAAGAAGAACAGTGGCCGCGGAAGCTGTGGGGACATGTGGGGACGTTAACATTGTAAGATAGGGGAGGGAGGGGCTGGTTTGTATAAGATGGGCAGATGATGAGGACATCGAACAACCGTGGGGACATTGCCCCTCTGTCCCCACTCACGCTTCCACGGTCACTGACGAAGAAAAACAGACGAATTTACTGAACAAGCGGAATAATTCTATAGGTTAATTTGCTCCAAAACTGAGGATTGACTATTGTATGTGACTCATAATTAGGGAGATGACTACAGTACGTAAGTAAAAGGATAGACTTCCTTCATAATTCAACAACCACGTTTGGACAGACAAACAGACAGACAAAACAAGGAATGGAGAGAGGCTAAATAATGAAACGGAATATTGCGACAGGGCGAAAACCGACCTAAACTGGAAATGTTTACTTCATTCGACTTTCCCAGCTCAGCATCCAGCATTTAATATTTCATAACATTTCAACCTCGCAAATTACGAATGGCTATATAACAAAGTTTGGCTAAATTAGTAAACAAAATTGCCACTGTTATATACCGAAAAGGGAGGTGACAAGTCTGCATGTTACAAAGTCATTGGAGTACGTAATCCTACAAATTTCAAAATTTTTATACAAACCCCAAATTTGCAATAACCAAGTAAAATTTTGTATTAAATTTGAAAAATTTGTCGCCAAATTTGTACCATTATTGACTGAACCTATTCGAGTGCATAAAAGATTTCGACGCAAAATCAGAAGTTGTATAACCCAAATAAAACTTTGCATCAATTTTTTCTCCAAATTTATACGCTTGCTGATTTGACCAAGTGCATAGAAAATTTCGAACTTGCATAGCATTCCAAATTACGAATGAAAATATACCAAAGCCTAACTAAATTGCATAGTAAACAAATTTATCCCTGCTATTCTACCTAGTTTCAACAATTTCCCACAACAGTGAAAATTATGTTACAACCTTATTTGGACTCATAATGAATTTCAAAAATCTCTTAGTTTTTACTCCAAAATAAAAATGTTCTCTAAATTTGTTTTGTACTCAAAATGCATAAAAGTTCTATAAATGTGATCCCCAACGTATACAAAAATATTTCACGTGCTTCAAGAAATTAGTCCAAAATTTCAAAATTGCTCCGGACTTTCACAAATCTCACAATTTTTATTTTTATTTTTCTTACTCCTAAATAATAATTTTCGCTAAATTTGAACTCAAAATTCATAAAACCTCCATAAAATGTGATCCAAATATACATAATTGCACGTGCTTCACAAAATGAGTCCATACTCCTACATGCAGATTAATTCGGCCAAAACTAATGCGCGCCCACATTACATTAAGAGAAGAGAAAGTGCTTTCTCCAAATTACCAAGCCGGGAGTAATCAGAGATGATGGAAAAGTACCAGACAAACAATTAGATCGCAACGTACATACGTAAGTAAACAAACCATAAACAATTATGCCATTTTATGTATGTATATCTACCCTCCTTTGCATGTTTGCAAATAGACCCTGGTCATGCTACCACTTACCCTAACAAAAAAAATGAAACGTAACACAACCCACAAAATAAATGGGTTCACTTTCATTTCATCCACTTTTTCACAAGCAAACAGCAAAAAATGGTGAAGAGAAAGTCAGAATGTAACAAAAAGAAAGTCGGAATTTTCTCGATTGGCAGAACCAGTGGCCGCGGAAGGGTGTGGACAGAGGCACAATGTCCCCACGCTTATTCGATGTCCGCATCATCTGCCAATGTTATATAAACCCCTCCCTCCCATATCCTGCAATTTTAACGTCCCCACATGTCCCCACAGCTTCCGCGGCCACTGATTACACGAATATAACATACTTTTATACAATGGCCGCGGAAACGTGTGGACAGAGGGACAATGTCCCCACGCTTATTCGATGTCCGCATCATCTGCCAATGTTACACAAACCCCTCCCTCCCCCATTCTACAATGTTAACGTCCCCCGATACCCCCGCAGCTTCCGCGGCCACTGTGCGACGCTACACTGTAAATATTTATCGTAATGTTTGAACAACAAAAGTTAATGAGAAGAAGAGAGAAAAAAAGAAAACAGATGAAAGTCAGTATGTATTTACTGTAATTAATAAAATGGCGTTTCTGTCCTGTTAGTTCATCCCATGTCACGGTCTGTACTGTTTAATGTTTCGTATTTGTTTAGCCGAAGAAATTAAGCAACTGAGCTGAGCGGGAGCCTAAAAATAAATAAAACAAGAGCAGAGTGAAAGCTCATCCGAGGTGAAAGTGGGTGGACTGGACGACCAAATGGTAATCATTATCTCGAATGGAACCCAACCCGAGCGTGTGAGTGAAAGTTAGTGGACGTGGACGACGAGGTGAAAATAGACCTCGAAAGTAAGTAAAGTAACGAACGGATAATGAAGCCTGTTTGATTACTGTTTTTATCTATGTACACTCTAAAATATGTAGTGGCAAAACTATAAGCGGCGGGAAAATGTAAATTTCTCAGGAAATGAAGTAGGCCTAAATCTTACCATTCGGTAAAAAGTAATTTGTACTTCGGGTGACAATTTTGTTACCATATTATTCACAAAACTATAACTAATCTCCGAGTAATTCGAATGATCATAAAACAATTATATAGTTAAAAAATGCATGTATTTACTCACCGTGAAATTTAAATTTGTCAAAATGAATGAATCGGAAACAAACATTTTGCTAATACCCTTTGTTACCACAGTCTTAACAAACTGGTATTAAATCATTACCAACCGGAATACATGTTTTAATATATGACTCTGCCGGCACGGTAATAATGTGAATTATCGTTTAGTATATGTGATGTTGCGGCAGTGACAAATTTCCTACTCAGAAACAAACTACTACCAATCCGGTAACAAATTACTACCAAATCAGTACCAGTACGGAGTATGTATGTGATTCTACCAGATTTTTAACAGTGCATACTATTTACAGTGTTATGAATCTATGATTAGTACATATGTTAATCCCTGAGTAACTTATTTACCGCGAATTTTAAATTTGCGACCATACCAGAAATCGGTAACAAACTTACTGGTAATACCGTTTGTTACCACCGAATTATTTGCAGTGTCCCCATAACCAAATGAATAATGACACCTGAAACCCTTGACAAGACCAGCATTATTATATTTTCCTTTTTTGGGGGAGAGAAAGCTTTGTAAGTTTCGTCCAATTTCATGCTAGAAACTTTTTGCTGCAGAAAATGAAAGTCGCCCACACGTTGTTTTTCTGCGTGATAAATTAGTCCTTATCGCCTCCAGCTTTCTTTCCCCACTTCAATTAACTTGCTTTCACAGAAAAACAGATTTCCCACACAAAATTGGAATCACCAACAATTTTCATTACTGCAGAAATATTTATATTTACAGGAGATTGCAGATTTTCGTTGTACAACTTTCTATCGTAGAAATCCGTTATTTTTTTCACCATTTGGAAACATTTGGAAGAACCTTTGTTTTTTGTCATTTGCTTTATTTTGAGACAAATTAAGGCAGATTTTTTTACAAAATTGGAATCACCAACAATTTTCATTACGGCAAATAAAAATATTTATATTTATGGGAAATGGAAAATTTTTCTTCTAGAAATCCCATTATATTTTTTCACCATTTGGAAGAACCACTATATTTTTTAAATGTGCTTCATTTTAGTGGTGCAAATTAAGGCAGATTTTCCACATAAAATTGGAATTAACAACAATTCTGATTACTGTACAAATATCAAATATTTTATTTACTGGAAATTGCTAATTAACGAAATTTTCATTGTGCAACTTTCTCTCCTGGAAATCTATCAACTTCTTTCACCAGAAACCTTTGGAAGAACCCCTGTTTTTTCAATGTGCTTAATTTCGACGAAAATTAAGGCAGATTCCACACAAAATTGGAATTACCAACAATTTTCATTACTGTAAGAATATTTATATTTTCGGGAAATTGCAAATGTTCATTGTGCAACTTTCTCTCCGAGGAATCCATCAACTTATTTTCACCTTGAAATAGAAACCTTTGGAAGAACCCCTATTTTCACCATCTGCTTCATTTTGCCGTAAATTAAGGCAGATTTTATTACATATTATTCCAAATTGGGGAGAAGAAATGATAGAAATTTACTGAGGATTTCCTGAGAGATTGATTTCTTTGTGTAATAATTCAATTTACCAAAAATGTTCTTTATTGTAAAAATAGTTATTGTAAATTTCTCTAGTATTTAGAAATTTAAAAGAAATCAAAATATATCAACTTTTTTTCACCTTGAAAAAGAATCTTTGGAAGAACCCATATTTTTGTCATCTGCTCATTTAGCCGTAAATCAAGGCAGACTTTGTTACATATTATTCAAAATTAGGAATAATGAGAAGAAATGATAGAAATTTCGTGAGAGATTGATTTCATTTTCTTGTGTAATAATTCAATTTAGCAACAATTTTCATTACTTGAAAAATAGTTATTGTAAATTGAAAATTTATTAAGTTTTCATTTTGGAACTTTCTTTCGTATTTAGAAATTTATAAGAAATTAAAATCCATCAACTTTTTTTCACCTTGA